CAACGCATTTCTAACACAGAATGGAAATAATTGGTTGCATCGATATCGCACCAGTTGTTTCGAAATTAAAAAGAAAATAAACAAAACGGAATTGGGAAAGAACTAATGCATCTGGCAACCTTTTATTGTACTTCATTTACACTATTGGAACTCAAAGAGTCAATGCTAGAAAGAAAAAGATAAAAAGGAATTTTCCATAAGTGTGTGCTTCTTAGAGAAAAGAAAGTGGGCAAAGTTATTTACTCTGTCACGTACTACTTGGAACATATAAAAGACGTGGCTTCTTTTCGCGAAAAGCTGTCAAAAGAGATAAAAGTTAATCTCTCCTCAAGCTTCCGGCAGAGAGGGACCACAATTTAAGTATGGATTCGATAGCTTTTCTGTTCCTTGAAAACTCATTAAGAGGACTATTCGATCCTTTTATACAGTATATACCCACAGCTTCTCCCTTTACAAAGGGAGAATAACAAAGTGGGAGGTCGAGGAGGTAATTAAAGTTCAGAATCATGCCCTGAGAATGTGACTAAGATGTGTTTAATGGATCGCAGATTTTGTGAACAAATTCAATAGAAGTTTGAGGTATTACTCTGCCCAGAACTATATTGCATTACGCTTAAGCTTATTAATTTTTAAAATGCTTCATGTAAAGCGGAAAACAATTATTTTCAACTTGCAGAAATTATTTACAAAAGAAGAAGAACATAGAAGAAAAGCAAAATTTATTTGCAAAATTAGTTCGAGGTCGAGGAGATAATTAAAGAGGTGACTAAGGTTAGCGGATCTTAGATTTTGCGAACAAATTTTAAAAAAAATATTATATTACTTTGCACTAAATTGTATCTCATTATATTTATGTTTGTTCATTATTAACAAGCTAGATGTTATGAACAAAAATTATTTTCAGCTAGCAGAAATTTAAAAACTAAGACTAAAGCGAAAAGCAAAAAAATATTTTCTAAAGAAGAGCAAAAAATGCAATGGTCGAGGAGATAAGGTTCAGACTCATTTCCTGAGTATGTGACACGTGTTTGTTCAATTAGTTTTTTGGTAACAAAATTAATAAATAAATATAATAGTTAATATTATATTGTATGTTAATGCTTTATAGTGTATGGTTATGCTATATTTAATTGGTTTGCTATGTTTATACATATGTATTGTTAAAACTCACGATATGAAAATCAAAAAATTTGTACCATTCGCGATCTTGAAAATTGCATGTAATAGTTGCATTTATTTTTTACAAAAAATTCCAAATTTTTCATTAGATATAATTCAATATATTAGATAAGATACATGTATTTCCTATTCATATTTTGTATTGTATTCTCTTTCTGGACTTTGGCAAAACCTTTGGCGTACAGAGAGAGAGCAATTTTAGACATTTGTCGCGCTCTCTCGATAGAAAAGGTTTTGTTTTTATGACTTCCAGAGCTGGTACCCCTGAGGACGTCAGTTTCGGTTGTCATATTTATTCATTTTTTCATATTTCATTGTTTCTTTTATTACGCTTATTAGGCTACTGTTTGCATGATTGATGTAAAAAAATTGTAAAATATTACTTCGTAAATAGTGCATTTAATAGTTAGAATGTAATATTTCCAAGAAATTCTATATTTTGTGATGTAACACATTCGTTACTAAAGATAGGACACTAGATGTAACGAAAGCAATAGACGTTTGAGTTATTACTTTGCAAAACAAAACATTGCATTGCACTGGTGTCCATGCTTATTTGTAATAACAATGCTTTACATAGTAAGGTGACATTTCGTCACTTATTACTTAAAAGGAAAAAGAGTGAGAGAGTTAAATTTTTTTTTCAAAAAATTCTAAAGTTTGTTTAAATTTGTTGCATATGATGTAACATAAAATAATTTTTTTCCCTTTTTAAAGAGAGAGACCACAATTTAAATGGGAATTCCATTGCGTAAATCTTTTTGTGCTTTAAATACACAAGTTATATGTTGCCTGATAATTTATTTCAAAAATTATATTCTGCATTAAAAATTACATTTTGTCGACGAATTTGTTTAAAAATTTTGAATTATATTTTTCTCAGTAATACACATTGCAAATTTTAATTTAATGAGTTACTATAGAAATTATTTTTTGATCAATTATTTGTTTTAGGACCTATATTTTGATCAATGATTTGCTTTGGAAATAATGTTCTTCCTTATAAAACATGTTTATTTCTCATAGCCTTCACTTTAAAAACGGAATTGATCAAAACGGATTAAACCAGAGATTTTAATTGCAGTCCAGCTTAGACTAAAACATCTGTCTTTGTAAATTCCCAGTTTAGTGAGTGTTTTGGAAGCATTATTCGGGAGCCCAAAACAGATAAGGCCTGTTCAAGCCGCCGACACCACTTCAATCTCTCCAGATCGATTTAGGTTTTAATCTAAAATAGAAGCTGCTGCTGAAAATTGAGAGATGAATCTGAATAGGGTGGAGTAGTTGCTTATTCAGAGATGATTGCAGAGTCACGCTTCAGGCTCTAAATTTATTTTCCTATAAAATAGAGTAGAACTATTCAAAAAGATACGCCAGAACTTCGATTGGATAATAACAGCGGGATTCCCTTTATCTAGGGAAACAAGTTTATATTATTTACTCAGTTTAAAGGGCATAAAGGGGAACATAAACTTTTTTTTTTAATTTCTTCCAACTCAGTTGAAATATACACTGAATACTGAAAGGCTATGCAGAAATTGGAATATATGCGAAATGATTTAGCTTCATTGATAAGAATGAATTATACGAATAAAATTGAATAAGCTTACTTGCTGCTTCATTTTTTTATTTATGGAAAATGAAAATTTTTTTTCTTTAACTATTGTTTTATATAAAAGTTTGATGTTAAATAAAATTTTACTTAAAAAAAGGGAAAAATTGAAAATAAAAAATGGCGCATTAAACCAGAGTCAAAAATTTTGATGGTTTTCCATTGATTGACCAACATGATCTTGATGGTAATCATCAATAATTCCATCATGAACCATTAAATTTTTTGATGGTAACCAACATAAGTAACCATCACCTCAATGAAGGAACTTGGACAGATTTATGAGGGTCCAACATAAGAATAGAAACTTGTTTTGATGGTTTGTTCGTGTTAAACCATCATGAATTTATATCATAGTATCTTAGAAATCAAATGTTGGAACGATCATGAACAACCCTCATACCGATCTAGGAATTCGTACTGATTTATGATGGTTCAATGTTACAAAATCTAAGTTGTTTTGATGGTATTCCTGAGAACCAACCAGAACTCCCATCAAACCATCGTGGAAATATATAGTTTGAACCATCACGGATCATCAGTTTGAACCATCACGGATCACGAACCATCATGGATTGTTGGTACTTGATGGTTGACCATCATAGTATTAAAGTAACATTTTCCATCATGGAAAAATGGAAGTTTGTTGTCAAAAACCATGAACACGTAATGGAAAATGTTGGATAATGGTGATCATCAAATGATGTTGGACCATCATGAATCGCTCTGAAACCAACATAAACCATCAAAATGTTTTAATGGGACCATCAAGAATTTGGTTTTTGGAAATAAGTTATGTAACTGCTTAACTGATTCATTTAATTACGTCATAAGTGTAACCCTCATCTGAAGTACATTTTTATTCATAAAAACCATTTTTACTCATTATATAGAACATATTTTATTCTAATTCGACATTTATTCTATCTCTAATTCTATAGAACATTTTCAGAACAATTTTTATTCTTAATTTAATTCCGGTAAACCATCAGCTAATTTTTCCTACCAACAGAGGGCCCCATAAGCTTTTCAAAATAGAAAAAAAAAACAGTGCATTAATTGAACATTAAGGATCTGTATCACAAATATGAAAGTGACCTACTACTTAAATAAAGCGTTCAATATATTGAAAGTATGCTAAAATTATCGAAAACAAGTAAATCAAAGAATCAAGTTAAGTGATAACATAGTTTATACAAGTAAAATATAGAGAGAACAGTCCATGGTTTAAAAATTAGCTACTCTGCATTATTTTTACATTCATTTACTTGTACAATAAGTGCCGTAACTCTTTGGGGTATTGAAAATATTTTATGATAATTGTAATAACGATTTTGCATTTCATTTAAAACAATTTCTCTACTAGAAAATTATCTTTTTGATTTTTCTATGTTACTTTTCAACTGTCTCTCAACTCTTCAGGAAATGTGTAATTTTACATTGACGATTTAGCGGTTCATTTCTAATCAGTTCTTTGATAGATAATTAACTTAGACTTCACTTTATTATCAGTACAAAGAGTATGTATGTAGTTATTTACATCGCACTAGAGTTGCACAATGGGCTATTGGCGACGGTCTGGGAAACATCCCTGAGAATGACCCGAAGACATGCCAACGCAAATTTTGATCCTCTGCAGAGGTCATGGCTCTTCTGCTTTGGTAGCCCGACGACATGCGTGCGAAGTCAAACACTTCAGGGTAGAACAGTTTAACGAGGACCGATACCACGCACCTCTGTCCCTACGCAGGCTGATCAAAGTGGTCACTCACCCGCTTACTGACAGCAACCAGTGATGCTTGACTTCAGTGTTCCACGGGGAACCATGTCTTTACGATAAGTCCGCTGCGTGACGTACATAGAGTAACTTAACTCTTCAGGATATTTGTATTATTTTATGTTAACGTAAGTGACGATGATACTCTTCATTTTGTATAGTTGTAAGAAAATTAGATTTCACGTAATTTCTACGTTCATTTACTTGTACAAGGATATTTGAATTATTTTATTATATTCCTAATGACGCTTTATTTTGGACAGTTTTGTTAGAAAAATAGTTTCCACTTACTAGCATTACAAAATATACGTTTACTCTTCAGAATATTTGAATCATTATTTTGTTTCAACCCTAATGGCAGTAATAATAATAATAATAATAACATTAATAATAATAATACATTTCAGCTTAAGAACTGTACTTTATTTTCAGATCCCTGTGAAGGCGTTGACTGCCCAGCATCACAGGTGTGTCAACTGGACGAGCATAGAAATCCAATCTGTAGATGTAATGCAGTGTGTAGTCCAGAACTGAGACCAGTTTGTGGTTCAGATGGTAAAACATACACTAACGAATGCACTCTGCGCGTCGAAGCTTGCAAATCTCGCAAAAGTATTCGCATCATCTATACTGGGGAATGCAGTGCTGGTAATTATATTTCGAAATTTTTATACTTAATTACAAAGATGTGGCTATTTTTTTTCAACTCATCACAGCAGAAATAATCAAAATATCTTATTTAATAAGTCAATTTTATATCATCATAAACAAAAGCAAAATTCCTAAACATCTCAAACCCTTAATTTAATTTACTCTTGATATAAAAAAAAAATGTCGTTTATTTTCTGCAATATTAAAATATTTCAGTGACAAAAAAAAATCTTATAAGCATTACATTTATTTTTCGAATAGTTTCCTACAATGTATTTATTATGCGGGATGTTTCGTTAATTCCACCCTTAATCTCTATGTTTAGAATTTTTATAAAAAATTAAAACAAAATAAGTATAAACAAAAAAGTATATATAGTTTGTCCGAAGTAAGAATTCCCCTAGCCATTCGTCTGGATCCGTGGCTGTGACTGTGGTAACGAGGTATAGTAGGGGTGTGGGGTTACTGTTCAGAACAGGTTTTTGCTCGGTTCAGCGAGAGAAATGGAATATTTTTCTTCGGTCGATTGTGTTAGCCGTAGAGTGAAGAGGAGCTACCCTCCCTGAAATGCGCTATTCTTGTTTAAATAGCAGCAGACGGCCTCAGACTTTGTCAAATCATGTACCATGATTTGACAAACTATAGTTTTGACAAATCATGGTACATGAAGTCTGGTGTATTAAACGAGACAAGTTCGATTGCGGGAAAAAACAGAGTTGTTAAGAGACGATTATTAGAAACATCTGCAAGTTTTAACCTCCAATTAAACTGGTTTTGATGCTTATTACTTATTACTTTCTTTACTGTAATTGGTCAAATATCGATAGCGTCTGTGTTTTTTCGTCAGAAAAATAATTTATGACCCCTAATGTGTATAATTTTGTGTCTAATTTAATTGAGTATTCTGAAAAATACTTGTTAAGGGTGGACTGAATGGATGACCTTGTATATCAAACATTATCGTGGAAAATAATTTTTGCGTATTTTAATATTGATATAGTACAATATAAGATAGTTATATAATAGTATATTGCACTATAACAATATCTTGTTAAGAATGTGCAAAGTTAAAAATGTTTAACAAAACATCGTTTTTGACATTTTTTTCATTTAACTAGTTCGTAGTATATATCTTTAAACGTTCTCTCTAATAACCATAAATGCAATCGATCTTTCAGATATGCATACAAATAAAAAGTTTCATTAATAAAAGAACGTTATATTCAATAAATATTTTTTGTTAATAGAAAGAGTAAAGAAGCGTCTGTTTCTTTCATAGGTTAAGCAAAAATAGAGAACACTTATTTAAAATTTAGAAGATTAGTTTCGGTAGAAAATTTGTTTTGAACTTTCAATTTTTACGTTTTCTATTTTCATGGCACTGAATATTTAAACACATTTTGTCTGGTCTACCACTGCAGTTAAATAAACCAGACAAAATGAGATTTTGTCTACTGTGGAAGAGCAAGGTTTTTCTAATACTTTTATCCTGCTTATGATGAATTGTTTATTAAACTCTTTGTCTTCGTTAATAATGTATTTTTCAATTGAGCTTCATAGTATGAAAGAGAGAGACAAGGAAGAAAATATTATTACTGTATACTTTTTTGAATCTAAAAAGTAAGAATTCGCTTTCCAGAAAAATCTCAGTTTCTTATTGTAAATATATATTTTATACATAAGTGTTTCTCATGTTAAAGTAGAAATCGATTCACTCTAGAAACGCAATATTAACTCCACTTTCAGAAAAAGTCACTCACATCTACAGTTTCTGCTAGACGGAAACTTCTGAATGTGGGATATCACCTTTTACCCCCGAAGTCTTTATAGGTTATTTACATAAAGTCAGTAGACTAAAAAGAGTTGCTGGCCGGAGATAATGAGAATTAAAACTTAAAAATTTAAAAATCATTTCAACTTTTATTGGACTGATTAACTATTATAAATCGGAAGAATGTTAAAAGAGTTATAACTCATTTAAAATTTAAGAAAAAAACTAGAGCTCTAAAATCGCTGGAAAATTTCAAAAGCATTATTTATCAATGAAAAGATTTCATTGCTTGCCAATGAATTAAGAAGGCATAGTTAAAATGATAAAAACAAATTAGATTACTTTATCAAACTTAAACATGATGTGGATTTTTTTATGGAATTACTAAATCCATTGCTTTCACGCCATCCCCAACTTGGAAGTATTTTTGGGGAAGATCTGGAGTAAAATTTATGATACTATAAATTCTTATATAATTTCGTTTTTTATATTCATGCATCTATATATTTCTTTAGGAGCCAATCCTTGCGAGAATTTAGAATGTGGTCCCAACCAAGAATGTGATATAGATCGTTACGGGATTGCAACCTGCCAATGTCCACCAGCCTGTGAACCAGTAATGAGACCTGTATGCGGTACTGATGGTCACACATATCATAATGACTGTGACTTGCATCGGCAATCTTGCCTTATGAAGCGAGAAGTCACTCTTGCCTATAGGGGAGAATGTGGTACGTAAATTTCAGTATATTATTGCGACATAAATTTGCAATTCGTAAAAAGAAAGATAATCGCAATATGAGAAATTAAAATGGAATGTATAAATTATTGAAGTCATAGGTGTAGATTTTAACACTTTAGCTTCATTCCCTCTTTAATAAATCAGTAGCATGATATTTATTATCAAACATTACTTGTGTGTGATTGGCAAACCCCTGAGATCTGACGTAGTCAGATATAATCCATGAGGGCGTTGACATACAAAAATCACGATTAATAATTTCCATGGCAGTACTTGGGTAAAGCAGAATAGGTATCGCATTTTTTTTTATAAATTGGAATGCTTTTTTGTTTCCCTTGAGAGAGGGGCATTTAAGTTGATCACTTACAAAACTGACAAGAGTGGTCTGACGTTACTATCTGTTTGATTAATAATATTTAATTACTGTTTCATTATTATTTTTTTGATTTTTATTCATAATAGAAATAACCTCTTTCAGAAAGTTGCCTGTCTTTCTAAAATTTGAGAAGTGGGTCATTATAAATATATTTTTTAAAAAAGGTGGTCATAATATTTGAGCATTTTATTTTATAACCGTCGTTGAATAGCCGACACAATTTATTGGGTTTACGACAACTAATGTTCAACCTCGTAACCTTATAATTTTGAATCCAATCCAAAAGACAAGGAATCAAGTATTGAGGGAAATTGCCTTCCTGGTAGACTTTTTGATGGAACTAGCCCGCATTTGCGCTACACGGAGGGGAAAATCCTGAAAACTTCCCACGAGTCTGACGGCTCTAGGGGGTTCAAACCCATGGTCTGTCTACCACTGGAGATATTTTACGTCCGCACTAGGGTTAATACAACCCGGATGAGGAATTCGTATTGACCAGCTATCGCTGAGTTTTGAACCCAGTTCGCCTCATTGGACGGCGAGCTCTCTAGCCTTTGAGCCATCACGGCTATATATTTGAAGATTTATTTTATTTTATGACCGTCGTTGAACAGCCGAGTCAATTTTTGGTTTACGACTACCAATGTTCAACGCCGTAGCCTTGTAGTTTTGAACTCAAACCAGAAGATAAAGGAACTTCTGGATAGAGTAATGGGAGAAATTAATTTTCGTGGAGGACTTTTTGATGGAACTAACACGCATTTGCGTTACATGGAGAGTATAACCATGAAAACCTCTCACGGTCAGCCTGACTGCAGGGAGACTAACCGATGATTCGTCTACCACTGAGGATAATTCATGTCAGCATTGTGGTTGGTGCTAGCCGGGTGCGGAATTTGTATCGACTAGCCATCGCAGGGATTCAAACCTGGTTCACCTCATTGGAAAGCGAAAGCTCTATCCACTGATTCACCTCGGCTCTATATTTGAAGATTGTATAAACCCTTGAATATATAACAGTAGGAACACAGAATGTTCCCCTTTTTAAAAAATTGATAGTACAGTGTATGATGTCGGTAGCTTGTAGATTCAAATTTAAAAAAAAAATCATTATTTGCAATGTATTGAGAGCTTCTGCATAAGTAATAAGATCAATATGCGTGTTGTGAGTCTACGAAAAAGTTAATTGATAGTGTATGAAGTGAATCGTTATGATTTCTGCTTCTAAAGCAAAATATCACAATAATTACACATTTTGGAAACCTCGAGTTAACGCAACGTTCATATATTTTGATGCTTCTCGTAAAGATTCGAAAGAACGTGTGTGGTTCGTCTGTAAAAAAATTCGTGTATATTGCATGGAATAGGTCACTACAGATTCGGTTTCCTTACAAAGGTCTCTTAAGCATTTGGGAACCTCGAGTTAAGAATGAGAAAAACTTTGTTGTTGTTACTAATGGCGTTTTCCAATGCCAGCAAGCCTGCCTGGGTAGTCAAGAGAATTTGTAAGTGAGAGGGTGCGTTTGTTGTGTTTCAGTGGCGTAACCTATGGCTAAGAATACGATATCAGCCATACACTTTATAGACCGTTTTACAAGGTGGACCTAATTATAATTTAATTATTCATCCGCAAATCGTAATTTTGGCTTGAAGCAGAGAAAAGTTAATTTTCAATTCAGTACCATAGGTATTTATTTTTCATGCGAACTTTCAGGGCTTTGCGAAACCGGCAGATTTAGTGTGCACCAATCATCATGGAAATCTGAGGCCTGCTGTATTTGAACTTACTTTCGCGTGTGTTGTTCGGCTGTGAAAAAATTGAGTGCGCAGTGTGTGAGGAAGGTCACCATAGTTTTGGTATTTTCTTGAAATCGAATCACATTATTTACACATCCAAGTATTTGTTTTTTTCAAAACGGGTCCCAATCCAATGTTTAACATTTAGAGAACTTTTTGCACTGATCTATTATGCCTTCAGAATTTACTCAAATGGGACTCCCAAGATCTATTTTTTCCTTTTTCATAGATAAGGAATGTTACGCTTGGTATCTCTTAACTTCTGATTCATAAAAAAAGAAAAACAGAAATTGAAGAGAAGAACAGAAAAACTTTATGAAAGTAAAAACATTAAAGTTTCTGAAAACAATCCTCCCTCTAAGATTTCATTTTGTTCTTTTACCAATTGTTCTTCTCCCAATAGGTTAGAGATATAAAACTCAGGAAACTGGAGATGACTTTAGACTCAAAGGTACAAAAATATTTCGAAAAAGTTTGGAATATTAGAAAACCGGTACAACTTTTGTTCTCGTGTTTTGCTTGATTTATCGGAGCACTTTGCATATAGCAGATTTCAAGAGGTTTCTGGCGAATGTATTTTCTTCGCAATCTGTTTCGAATGTTTTGAGATTGTGTAAAATGTTCTTTTTTTATGTTTCCATATCGACATTTTTCGCTAAATCAGAGCAGCATAGAAAGTCTTTTTGTTTAAATCTAAAAAATTTAAATAGCAAATTTTTCAGATTTCAAATTTGTTTCCAAGTTTCAAGTTAATTGAAAAAAGAAATTATTCAACATAAAAGAAACTAGTTTTTGATAAAATATTTTCTAATTTTGAAGTAGATTTAAATTCTGATATTTGTGTGACGTTTAACTTCTTTATATAATGCGAACTTAATTTATAAACTGTTCAAAATGCTCCTGTATCCTGTACAATTAAATGTAATGATTTCTTCAAAAAAATTAAAATTAATTTTTTTAAATCTTTTATTTATTGAATACTTTTAATTAACTAAATATTTTACAGAAAATTCATTTTCAACTTATAAAATATTAAAAAATTTAAATTTTGAATAATTGTTATTTGTCATTAATGTTTGAGAATCTAAATTTGCTTCATTACGTTTCATGTTATGTTTGTGTTACTTGTTTCACACTTATTGTTCACAAATATTTTAAACATTTTGAGAGTATTCAATTACTTCTCTTATATTCAAGTATTTTTCGTAAAATTAGATACTAAGCAGTAATTCGAATTATATCTGAAAACTTTAATTAACGGAAGTTTAAAAAGAAAATTTAGTTAAATCCATGTTAATATTCTTTAAATTAATGAAATGTTAAATATTTTAAATTTGGTTGTTACAATTAATTTATGTTTAAAAATTAGACAAAATATTTCTAGCAACATAACTATTTATTAAACATAATATCTTATATTAAATTGTCTCTACAATCAAAATATTTATGAGAAATTTTCAGTTAACAACCAGTAACTGCTTCATTCTTAACACAGAATTGTGAAATAAATGCATTTATATTTTATCGTTTAAAATATTATATTTGATTTCCTTTTAGAGTGCTTAATATTTGTTTTGTTTGTTGCATTTATTACGAATGAAATAAGTTTAATTTGCTTTTAAAGAGCAACTTTTCCATGGATGTACATGAAAAAGTAAGAAATAAAGAATCGAATTTGTCGATATATCTTAGATAAAGTCTTCGTTAATTTTGCAGGAACTGAGTTCAATTTATGTTTATTACATCCTAAAATGTATTGCAAGACCTTTTTTTAATAAATTTTTTAAAGAATTCTGTTGAAAATTTGGCGTTTTATTGAATGCTATTATAGGTTATTCAAAATCCTCTTACTTTTCATTTGTTTTCTTTCAAAATTTCATAACCAAGTCTTGCAACGCATTTCAAGTTAAACATTACATAAAATGAACATATTGCCTGGAATATTAACTAAAACTATACCTAATCGATTTTTGTAAGTTACACGCGATATTTTTTTCCTGACATTCTTTCTTGCAAAGTAATAGAAAGTTTTTAATTTTTTAATTTTTCTTTTTTTAAGAAAAATTTCGTTTCCTTTTTCGTTTTAACGTTTCAAAAATCTTCAAAACATTCCCTAATATTTTCTCCGTTTTGTACATTTGGTTGCTGTTGCCACTAATGCCACTAGCTAATAGTAGTAAGCCAGCTACAGGAAATCCAGCGATTTAAGGAGTTTGTGCTTTTCTTGTTAAGTGGCGCCATCTATGACCAAGAGTACCGCTTCAACCACTAACATATCACAGCCCATTTTACAACGGTGGATCCATTCTTACATCATTCATTCATCCACAGATCGTTATTTTGACCTGAACCAGAAAACGATTAATCTCTAATTCAGTACCCAGAGAGACATTGATTTGTTATAGAAATTTGGAGGACTTAGTAACCTGGACAGATATAACGTACACCAGTCACCATTTAATATAGAGAATTTTTCGGCCTGCTGGATTCGAACTCACGATCTCACGAACATGAGCCCAACGTCCTTCCAACCAGGCTATCCCGGCCAAAATCAAATGTACCCGTCCCGGTAAACTTAGTATTGATAATAAGCATTTGATTTAAGGACAAATGAAGTTCAATTTATAGTGTATAAGTGCGTATAATTCGAGAGAAAAACTTATATAAATCTAGTTATTTAATCTAATTATTAATTTTAGTCATTAGTAGGGTAGATAGCAAAAGATAACTAATAAAATAGGTTTTTTTAGTACTAGCATTAGCAATTTAATTATTAATTAAATTAAAATATTAATTAAGTAACGTTACAAAAAAGTGGATAAAAGAATATACCATACCAATTCATACTTTCGTGGTATTCGGGGAAAATTTTAATTGAACATAAATCGAATTTAAAACTGGAGTCAAATTCTCAGGTGTCGGAGTTGGATTCGAACATTTTACTACCTACTCCACAACACTCAGCAACGCAATTAAATTATGCCCAAAATGAACTGCTTACACCATCAACAAGATTAAAAAAGTTGAAATACTTTATTTTCCTTTTTTTTTTCATTTATTGCACTTTCCGGTAGCTTTACGTTGTTAGATTAAACTAATCAAATTTTTAAAAATTCATCACCTCAAAATAAATATTAAGTCTAATCAGAATCGTTACTGTTGCTCCAGGGTCAAAATTTCGCCGGTACTTATCCCTTTCGGTGTCTGCAGTAGTCTATTTGTTACTTATTGAAAGCAACATAAATTGCAGTAATAGTAGCAAAATTATTATCTGAAATTAATTTAGAATCATTAGATATTCAATAACAGCATGGCGCTTTCCGTGGTTCCCTTAAACGCATCAGTACCTTTTCTCCATTTATTTTGCTTTTTAGTACATTTTGTTATTTGTGTCAATTACCGTTGATTTTAAGTTATTTAATTTTATAAAAACGCGTTTGAAAATCACATTTATAAATAAAGTAATCACGTGGTTTTAGAAAACTTTAGGAATACTAATTCGGAGATATAGGCCCGCTATCCACGTTAATCACAAACAAATATTAAAAAACTAGATATTTAATATTAAAAAATAGTTAAATATTAAATATTAAAAATACTTAAATATTAAAAATATTTAAAAATTAAATATTAAAAATATTTGAATATTAAATATTAAAAATATTTAAATATTAGAAATATATTAAAAATACTTAAATATTGAAAATATTTAAATAATAAAAATATTTAAATATAAGAAATATTTAAATATTGAAAATATTTAAATATTGAAAATATTTAAATATTGAAAATATTTGTAAAAAATATTTGTATTATTAAAAATATTAGTAAAAAATATATTTGTAAAAATACTTGTAAGAAATATTTAAAAACTAAAGACTGAGCGATAAAGTCCTTAACATAATTGTCTACCGTGTGCTCCAGAAAAAAACGTTCTATTAGTCTGACTCAATGAAAAAAAAATTCCATCACTGTTACTTTAGGGATAGCTCTGCATAAGTCTAATGAGTCGTCAAGATGAATTTAATTATTATACTATTGTTGTTGCTTTGTAATGATACTTGTATCATTGCTCAAAAAATTGATGGCAATGCTGCCAGTTTCAGAAAAAAAAATAAAAGCAACTCTAAGTTGCATAAAACAATAAATCTCTATAGTCACTGGCCATATTATTATACGCACTATAAGATTCTATGTAAAATTCTAATTATCAGGTGATATTGTATTGTTTTAATTCGGATGAAACCGGTTTGCATTTGTTTTCGCTCCTTTATCAATTGGTTAACATTGTAATGCAATATGTTGAATATAAATACAAATAGGAAGTATATACGAGTAAGTCTATAAAAACTTTCCTGAATAAAAATCCATTACATGTATGTTTAAATATAAAAGTATTGCATATAAACTCGTGCAAATAATGTCATTATTAAAAACCTACTGTGCGCCGAATAATTATTATAATATACTAATATAATACTTGACATAATAAATATTCTATATTTATATACTATATAATCGAATTTATCCTATCGTCTAATTTGAGTCGCGATGGCTCAGGGGATAGAGCGTTCGCCTTCCAATGAGGTAAACCGGGGTTCGATCCAGGCGATGGCTGGTCGATAAGAATTCCGCATCCGACTTGCCCCGACCACATTGCTGACGTGAAATATCCTCAGTGGTGGACGGATCATGGGTTAGAGTCCCTTTGCCATCAGGCTAACCGGGGGAGGTTCTCGTGGTCTTCCTCTAGTTGTGTACCGCAAATGCGAGTTAGTTTCATGAAAAAGTCTTCCACGAAAGCAAATTTTTCACAATACTTGATCCAGGAGTTCCCTTGTCTTCCGCATTGTGCTCAAAATGACAAGGTTACGGAGTTGTACATTAGTAGTTGTAAACCCAAAAAATTGGGTGTGCTGCTCAAAGACGGTTATAAAATAAAATAAAATCATCGAATTTATATCATATATCGTCTAATTTAACCCATTGATACACTAACGTAAACAAGTGCAAACCGTGTAAAAAGCAATAAAGCTGTATAGTATCTACTGATAATTAAGATTTTACATAGAATCTGATAGTGCGTCTAATAATTTCGCTAGGGACTGCACTTTTACAATAAAATTGTTTTAAATGTATATATCTCCTTAATTCATTAACCTCATTTAATTTTTTATTCTATACATAGGTGAACGTGGTCCTTGTCATAAACATGCCTGTTACTTTGGTGCTATTTGCGTCATCAAAGGAGGATACGCAGTCTGCGAATGTCCAACCTGTACTGAAGAATTTGAGCCAATATGCGGGACTGATGGAATATCCTATACAAATATCTGCAAGCTAAAACAAGAGGGGTGTGAACAGAAAACGGACATTGATGTAGCCTATACAGGACTTTGTAGTAAGATCTTATTTTACAACTTGTAACAACTACGCATTTCATCCAGATTGTATATTTCAGTTAATCTTTGCCCAACAATAAAACACGACCAGATTTGTAAATTCCATAATCCAAACCAACAAAATAAATGTTTATTTTCTGGATTATATTCATCAAATATTTTTTTTCTTTGGGGTAAGGTGAGTGTGGGGAGAGTAGATATCGACATAGTCAACCTTCATCTATGAAATAGAATTCCCCACCATAGAATCGAGTTAGCGTGCCTTATATTCTAGTGAATTGGAATTATATTTATGTAGTGGTAGATACACTACAGGGAGGTATTCCGGATATTTGCTTTTAAATGTCTAAACTCTACTAGCTCTTAACTGTAACTGGGATACCATAAACCTATCAGCAAAATAACTTGGACTCTCATTGGGTCAATTGTCATGAATCTTGGCTCAATAAGGACCATTATTTTTCCGATGTTGGCCCTGTATAGAACATTCCGATTCACCCGATATTTTACAGCCACTTTACAACCAATATCGGTCCTATATAGAACTGTCAGATTCACTCGATATTTTGTATCCATTATTTAGCCAATGTAGGTTCTGTGTTGGCCAATGTAGGCCCCCCTATATAGGCCATTCTAGGATCAACATTACGAAATATTAATATCCCAATATTGGTCCCCGATGCATGTTCTTATAAAATCTATATTGAGCCAATTTTGGGCCAAGGTAAAATTGTTGCTAAGGAAGTAATAAAAGAGAATTTTTGTCCTTAAAAACAATCAAAATGAGAAAAAGCAAGAGTTGAAAAAAAATAATTAAAATTATTTTATGGTTTGGACGCTGACGCTTGAAAAACTTTCTAAACAATCGTTATTGTTATTTTTTCATACCTTCCGATTTTTCTTTCCGTCTATTCTGATAAATGTTTTAAATTTTTTTTTTTAAATCAAATCATGTGAAAGTGTAAATGACTTTATTTGTAAGAAGAATTTTGACTTTACACATTAAGTACGTTGGAAACAGTATATTTTGCATGCCAGAAAAACTTGAAAGTTAGATTAAAGAAACATACTTGAATAATAATCTGTAACCATTTTCCAAACAATTTTGTTCAGTTTCAATTTTTCTTAAAAAAACAAAAGCAAAATTCGGAATAAAAACTATTAACATAATTAGCATCACAATAGCAACTAACGGAAATGATAATAAGCTATTATAATTAACTCTTGAGCCAACTAGCCTAAGCTAGAGTAATTTAGTCAATAAATAATACTAATGTTAAAAAAAATATGATCAATTTAGCAAATAGATTCTTGAGCAAATTTACAGTTTTTTTTATTGTGTTTTAATAACTAAGAATGACTTACGTTTAAATATCATATCCTTCAGTTAAAAAGTGATTCGAAACAACGTTAAAATTAAGAAATAAATTACATTCCTCAAATTTTAAAAAATTAAAATTAATCCATATAGTATATTTAAAACTACTTGCACGCATTTGCTTACGCATGATAGTACATAAAGTAATATAATTTTATGTTTATCAAATTTATATTTATCATGTTTTTATGTTTATCGAGTTTGTTTCAATGCATTAGTTATTAATTTTTATTTAAACCAAAAATAGAAAAAAAAAGAATAAAATTTGCATATTCGCTTCATAAAATAATAGCAATTAAAATGTTTCATGACAGCACTAATTATTTCACAAACATCATATTTTAAAAGGATGAAAACTGGCCAATCATTAGCCAGTGTTAAAAGTGATGACGAAAGAGTAAAATGAATAAAATGTTAAATTATCCTTTATCTCTTCATAAAACTTATCTCACGCGTTGATTAATTAAGTTATCTTTTAATTATCATCACTATCAATCACTTATCTATTTCTTTTATGGAGATACCGCACTAAATGAATAATTAATTCTTAGAAAATCTGTTTAGAGCTTCTTAAGATTAGTTTACAAAGACCTTTTTAAAAACAATATTCAAAAAAAAAATTTTGTTTTCAAGAAAATTCGAGGACAAACATGTGAAGATAGAAGTAATTAAGCTTTAATTACTCGAGGTGTCTTGCAGCTAACAGTTTTTTTTTTCACAAAAATATTTTTGATTAACGGTAATAATTAATTTTAGAAAACTGCAGGATATGCTTAATACAAGTAATATATTTTATTTGCGATGTAGTAAAATTGTTTCAAATTCAGTTTCTTTTTTCTTCTTGTTCTGGTTTATTAAATTGTGTTTTAAGACATGAAAGAATAGTGTGGATTATATCCCTTCTCAGTGGGTGGGTTTGCTGCAGTTTAATAAATGTTTTTCTTTTTCTTTCGGCAAGAAATTGCGTATTTAAAGATGTTATGATTTTTTCAACGTTGGTGGATGAAACAGTAATTGTAGAGGATATAAATTCGAAATTTTTTTCTGCTGTTCAATAAATGTTTTCTTTGTTATATATTGGCAAGAAATTGCGTATTTAAAGATGTTATGATTTTTTTAACGTTAGTGGATGAAACAGTAATTGTAGAGGATATAAATTCGAAATTTTTTCTGCTGTTCAATAAATGTTTTCTTCGTTATATTTAGGCAAGACATTGCGTTTTAAAAGATGTTATTTCTTTAATGTTGGTGGATGAAGCAGTAATTGTAGAGGACATAAATTCGAAATTTACAAAAAGAGAAAAACAAGTAAAATAAAATGTATCCTATTTCTGGGAGATGTTATTAAAATTTCACAAATACTTTAATTATTGGAAGATAAAGCAATAATTATGGATGATATATCAAGTTCTTAAAAGAGCGAAATATTATTGATATTGTCCAATAATTTTTATTTTTGGCAGAGGAAACAAATAATTATGCAGGATATAACTTCTGAGTTTTTAAAAAAAAAAAAAAACAAAAAAAAGCAAAATAAAATTAATCATATTTCTATGTTGTATTACTGAAATTTCATAAGCGTTTTTACTGTTGTCAGATGTAACAGTAATTATTAATGAACAGTAATTCGAGTTATTAATGAAAAGATGAGTCTTTATTTCAATGCCCTTCTTTCCAATACCACATTAACTAACCATTTGGTTTCAAATATGTTTCAATAACATTGTAGAAATTTTTTTTTCATATTTAAATTTTTTCTATATTTAAAAATTTAGTTTTGAAACAAGAAAAAACTTTTTGACAGTACAGCACGTTCAAAGTCGCAATTTAATCAGCAGTCTAACCCGCATAGCAAAACCGGTTTTTAATTGTTACGAGAAAAACATTCTCCTAACTTCGCACGCCAGTGGGTTTTAAGGCTGATAAAAAAAATTTAAAAAAATTGTAACAAAAATCTTGTGTTGTATTCCATCCGATGAATTAAAGCAAAATAATGGATAATAATAGAAATAAAAGCGAAATTTTCCATTATATATTTTTTTCAAATAGAAAGAACACTAATGTCCTATTAAACAGAAGGAAACAGTGTAACATCTTGTATAAACAATATTCATTGCCAAAAGAGCTAGAAGAATAAAATTCAATGTCACTAATCTTAAAGTTATATTTTACTGTGTTACTCTTTAAATATTGTATTGGAAAATGCTTAAAACGTATGTTTAAGTTAGCAAATTGTTAAAATGAGTAATATTCTTTGAATATTTTGTTCTGATTTCTAACACCTTTTGTTTGTTTTTTTTTAAAATACATAGATAAAATGTTTGCAAGACCATATCGACATTAGTGTAAAGTTTAGCAAGCAAACTCAAGTCCTTTTCTTTATTTATGAAAAAATTAAAAGTTATCATTTAAAATTTTTTATAAAATAAGGATCGATGTTTCGAAAGCACCGTCCTTAATATAAATATTTATATTTCTTTTCAGAAATGAAACTGAAAGAGTACGAACATTAGAGTTCTTTATTGATATTTAAACGTGGAAGAAACGAAAACCGGTATTAATTTCTGATCTATGAAGAGATGTTTCCTTATTAAGGAGCCAGTTTAAATATAAGCTAAATACGATGGTTAAACATGTTTTATAAGGAGAAAAAAAAATCTGGAAATATGACTGTACTGTGATTAATGACATTTTGAATAAAAGGACCATAATTCTGATAATGAAAACCCAAGTATATGATATTTAAATTATGCATTTGGCAATTTTCTCATTCATATGGGAACTGTTAACCGGAGATAATGGTTTTCAAAATTATAGTTTAAGTCAATTTTATAAGTTAAGTCAATTTTAAATTATAGTTTAAGTCAAAATTATAGTTTCAAAATTATAGTTAATTATAGTTAAGTTTAATTTAGTGAAAAAAAACAAAACTGAAAAGTAAATATAATCAAATAAATGACTTTCATGCCATCCTCGAAGTATCATAGTAAAATTACTAAATTTTATTTCGTTTACCAAAGGTTATGTCGAATCAGAAAACCATATATAATTAATTATTGATTTCGAATGACATTTAATGGCATTTTTCTAATAGAATTTCTAATAAATATAATAGAATCGTTACCATGACGTTTCGATAATAATCACTGATTGAGGGTTTTGTTGTTCTCATAGAATTAGAGAAATTGTAAATTTTACCATATTTTGTTAGTTTTTAAAAAAAAATTTCTCACTGTAGCATTTTCCGTTCAATTAGTTCATGTTTTTTCCGCCTTCCGCCTTTAAATTAAATCTGTCCATTTTCGTCTTTTAATTAATTTATGTTTTTTTTTTGTTTTTTTAAGCATAGGTATGCTTAACAGAATAAAAATTATATATATTTTTAAAACATTTTCACAGAAAAAATACTAGATTTTTTTTCGAAATTTTTTTTATTTTATTGATATTCTGAAGTTAATCTTCATTGAATAAAAAAATAAGATAAGAAGAATTCACTTTTCATTTATTCTATAATTATTAGTTATTCTAATTGCCTAAATGAAGGTTTTTAAATTGCTTATTTATTGATCTGAAATTCATTTTTATGCATCTGAAGACTTAAAGGCAAAGAAAAAATTATTATTTTTGTATCTTCAAATTGATAAAGTTTTTTTTCTCTTTCTTTCTAGATTGTCATAAAAATTTTATAAACGAAAAAAACCTTTAATTTAAAGGACAGGTTTTTTTCTTTAAAAATCAATTACACAACTAATTAAAGCAATTTACAATTTTACGAGTGCTTGGATTGTTTTTAATTTTTAATATTTTTATACGTTATCAATTAGATAGTAAATGTAAAGAAAAAAATACGCTTTCAGCTTTTTACGAGAAATAATTAATGAGAATTATAAATGATGCTGGTGTCAGTTTTTTTTCTGTTGTATTATTAAGATTAATTTTTTTCTTTCATTTTATGATTTACATTTGCCGAGATAGAAAATATATAAAGCTGCTAAAGAAATAGAGTTCTAATTATTTCGATTTTGCAGAAGTAAAATAATGAATTTTTATTCCTTTATTGGAAACAGAAAATATGTTATTTTAAATGACTCGGAATAGTACTGAATTGTATAAATCGACTTATAGATTGCATAATTTGAATAAACAGTTTACATATTTTCAACAAACAGTTTACATAATTCATATTTAATATGCATTTCTTAATTTTTATAATTTCTGCAAATCTTCTATAAGCATGTCATCTTCTTGTCCCAAACAAATACTCGAAAGATTAATTTCTCGAAAGATTTTATTCCTACCAAAATTTATCCACCCAAATGAGATTTCTCAGAAGCTGGATTCTAATCTCATTTAATCCATTCTTCTCCTTCGCTCACCTCACTTGTAAAACTCGCTCAACCCACAGGTTATTCTCGCTCAACCAACCCACAGTTCAATTTCGCTCAACCCATTGTTCTATCTTATTCCACCCACTGTTCTATCTCACTCAACCTATTGTTCAAACTACTGTGAAATCTGACATTGAAAAATTATTGTGAAAATAAAACATCTCTGTTTAAAAAGCTGAAATTAACAATACTATTTTGATCCAAATAAAGAAGGGTAAACTTTGCGCTGCATGTGAACAATGCGAAACGGCATGAATAAAACACAAAATAATGCGTGCTCTAATTCCTGTTCTATATTCAAGAGGTTGAAGGGGATGAAACTATAGACTATGTCAACCTTCATCTATCAAAAGGCACCTCAAGTCCGAATCAAGTTAACGTGTCTTATATACTAATGAATTGGTATTTAATATTTATGGTGGTAGTTACCCCACATAACTCCCCTTCCAGAATTTTATCTGTGATAGAATTCGATACCACTAGTTGATTTCATACTGTTTTTTTTATTTATATCATTTTTGCTCATTATATTTTTTCCATTATTTTTTTTGTTTTTTTTTTGTTCATAGGCCGGGAGACTTTTATTTACTTCACCGGATTTCCTTTTAAGATAATTCTATCTTGAGGTACTTTTTGATATATGAAGGTATGGTGACTTGCGGACGTCTTATGAACTCGTCAACATCGATGGATGGTCCACTTTAAATAGTTGATTTGCTTTAAATATAGCACTCAAAAATAGAAAAAAAATCCGGTGAAGTAAATAAAAGACTCCCGGCCAATAAACAAAAAAAATGGAAAGAAAAAAAATAATGAGAGAAATGATATAAATAAAAAAAACAGCATAAAATCAACTAGTGGTATTGGTTCATCGAATTCTATCACAGATGAAAGTCTGGAAGGGGAGTAATGTGGCGTAAGTAGCACTACAAATATTAAATACCAACTCACTAGTATATAAGACATGTTAACTTAGTTCAAAGTTAAGATATCTTATATACTAGTGAATTGGTATTTCATATTTATAGTGGTAGTTGAGCCACGAGGTGATCAAGATTTTCACTGTCGAAACAAAGATTGATAGAAGGAGTGTTAAATTAAAATTACAAATTTCAACAAGGTGAAAGAGTGGTTTTAATTATAAAGGATAAGAAATAAGTATATAATCAAACAGAGAAAAGGAGATAAGAAATAATGGCGTTGGTGGAGGGTAATTTTCAAGATTTAAATGTAATAAATTTCTATTATTAAAATATCTATTTAATCTTTATCTTTCACATTCTCCTATTTGGTATCGTACTTCCTTTGACTATCTCGTTCAAGCTTGCTCTTCATCTCCTATTGATTGAACCAGTTTTTTTCCCTATTGATTAAGCCATTTTTGTTTTTACTTGTTTGCTGCAGTTTCTTCTCTCTTTCAACACTAAAAAAGCTTCTTGCTTCTTCATTATATTACCGAAACTTCAGTATGTCTTTTTTCTTCAGATAATTTGTACTATATTCACTTTGCTCGGCCTTATTAATAGTATGTCCATAGAGCATTTGTCCTTTAGAAAATCTACTATCCTTTAGAAAATTTACTTTTCATGATTCCGGATTCAGATTTTGAAAGTTAAAAAAAATCCAGTGAGCGCAATCTCCCGGAAGAAAAATTTGAATTAATACTTTGTTCATCACTTATTTTAAATTTCTTAAGTATTTTTCATTCAAAATTTTATCCTTTGTAATTTCGATTCTGTGTGGAAACTGATGTTTGTTGAGTGATATGATTTTGATACGGTTTATAGAGTTTAAGCGATTTTGGATCATATATCATTGTTACACGATTTTAACACCGAAGATATATGGCGAAAATAAATTAATAAAAGAAAAAATTTCAAAATAATAATTATTTTCGCGACATGTATTTTTTTAACAATTTTTCCCTGTTTTATTATTTAATTCAAGGGGGGAAGGGCATTTTCTCGGGATTTCTGCAAATACTTCAATTTTGTAAATACATCAAGCGAATGCAAAATATCAAAAAAATAAATTATCTCGGAAAAAAATTGGAAATCTAACTAATATCTTGTTTGTGAGAGATATTTTTTGCACGAACTAATTTATGTGGTTTTAAATTTTTTTTAGCTGGTTGTCAACTTCTAAATAATGAATAAATCGATGTTTTTATTAAAGCTAAAATTCTAACAACTGACAATTCGTTTCCAAAGAGAAATTTGCCGACACACACTAATTTATGTGATTTCAAAATTATTTTATTTAGTATTTAGCTTTCGTATTTTAAATAAATCGCACTTTTTAATTAAATAAAAAAATATAAAAAAATTATTTTATAACCGTCGTTCAACAGCCGACTCAATTCTGTGTTTGCAACTGCCAAAGTTCAACTCCGCAGCCTTGTACTTATAAACACAGCCCAGCAGACCATTAAACTTCTGTATCCAGTAATCGGAGAAATTTACTTTCGTGGATGACTTTTGAATGGAACTAGCCCACACTTGCGTTACGTGGAGACGAAAATCCCGAAAACATTCCCTGACAACAAAGGAACTCTAACCCATGGCCTGTCTAGCAATGAAAGAAATTGTAAGTTAGGTCGGGGAAAGCTGGGTGTGGATTCGTATCGACCAGCCATCACTGAGATTCGAACCCGATTCCGCTCATTGTACCATTAGCCAGTACTCTATCCCTTAAGCAACCACAGCTAATTATAAAATGACTGTAAAAATAAAAAACAAAATCTAATTTATAAAGAAAAATCTAATTTATAAAGTGACTATAAAAATAGAAAAAAAAAGTTACAAATCTTCTCCGAACAAGAATTTGTCAACAGTTATTTATGTGGCATTAACCTTATATTAGTTGAATTTCAAGGTCTGATAAATAAAAATTGTGTTTTTTTCTTTAAATTAAATTTTAAAAAAAAGTTTTAATTAATTGATTTTGTTTTCATTAGATGGGTGTGAAAACAAGAAATGTGAATTCTATGCTGTATGTGAGAGTAATGGAAAGAATGAAGCTCGTTGTGTCTGTCCACACTCCTGCATCAAAGTAAGTTTACAATATAATTTTCAAATTATTCAAAAATATTTAATTCTTTAAAAATATTTAATTTTTTAAAAATATTTAATTATTCAAAAATAGTTAATTATTCATAAATATTTAATAATTCAAAAATATTGAATTATTCAAAAAATTTTTAATTACTTTTATTTAATTATTCATGAGCATTGACTTATTCATGTATATTTAATTATTCATGAATATTTAATTACTCATGAATATTTAATTATTCATGAATATTTAATTATTCATATATGCTTAATTATTTAAAAATATTTAATTATAAAAATTCAAATGAAATATTCAAAAATTAAGGATATGAAGTTTTTTAAAATAAAAGGTATTTAGTTCTAAATAATAAAATATGGAATAATTAAAAATAAGAATTATTTAAAATTATTTAAGTATTTAATTCACATATTCTTTTTCGCAGATGGAACACCAGTGTCCCTTTTATATATTTTTTCAGACACTCTAATTACCAGTAAAAATATATTTAGTATGGATTTGTTATTTTAAAAATCTGTCTGATAGATACTAAATAAAAATCTGTTAGATTCTCGGAATTATATTTGTTCCAAAATATGAAATAAATAAAAACATATTTTTGTAAAAAAAAATGTTTAAAATTCATATTTAAAAATTTATCAATAATCCATTTTGAAAATTAATGAAATTAAATATAATTAACTGCAGATAAGTGCAAATGTTTAAAATTATTCTTCGAAAGTGAGCTGTGTTTGGAAGATTTAACCTTTAACACAGAAAAATGATACCGACAAATTCATAGCCAAAAATTATTAAAATGCTAAATATTATATTTCCCCCCTATTTTGATCTAAATTAATACAAAATAATAAATTAATACAAATAATAACAATAAAATTAGTAAGTAAACAAAATGATAAAGATGAAAATAATAAATATAGAAAAAATGAGTTTGATTTCTGTGCTTATTTTATAAATTTCATTTTTTTTATAAATTAAATGATTAGATAAAATACTGTGCATTATATAGATAATGTATTTTTGGTATAAGGAAGCGTATTCTATTGTTCTTTTAACAGCAGATTTGGTTTATTCTATGAAACCTATGCAACTTTAATTTCGCAATTTAACCAAATTGAATTTCGAACACCACTAGCTTTTATCTCTACAATAGATGAAAAGGACTAACTGAACATAATTCATTCGAATGTTTCTCGTCCCATCGAACATAGGATTCTCGAACAAATATCTCATTCCTTTCCGAAACTAATGAGATCAAAGAGACAAATTTATTGCTTTATCCTGATTATCCAATTAAAATGACAATCAGAGAGCTGTAAGCTAATATGCGGACTCTGTTCTGATGACAAGGAATTTGTTCTAAGCTAAATTTTTCCAAATTAACGAACAAAAAAAAATAACGTAAAGCTATGAAATTGTGTATACGGGATATCGTTACAAGATTTTAATTAAAATCATGTTTATGATTGTTTAATAAATATCTTTGCTTGATGAAATAATAATGAAACAAAAATTAATCTTCTATGAGTGTTATTAAAAGCTTAATCATATCTTTCTGCAGTATTCTCAACTATAATATTCTGCTTTAGTAGTGAATATGCAGTAAGTAAGATTTCTTTTGAAAAGTGAGTCTTTAATTTAGCTTATCTTGCTAACTTGTGCATAAGCTTATGCATAAACGTTTTTAACACCCGGAAACTTCAAAAAAATTTATTAACAAGTTGACAAATGCAGAAAAGAATCAATAATTCAAAGTATGTGGAAAAGAATAAATTAAAAATGTTTCTTTTCCGCATATTTTGATAATGATTCCTACTTCTTTCAATCATGTATTCACTCATGTGTTCTAAAAATTAAAATTTAATTTTATTTTGGTTTAATTCCCTACCGTTTGGAAATTACTTTAACAAAGCCACTTTACAAATCTCACATTTTGAAAAAATAATTATAAAACGATTTAATAAATATCGTTTTGTTCAAGAAAAATGGTTAAATTTTTCAAATGAAGACGATTTTTTTGTCATTTTTTTCTTTCTTTAAAGTTTAAAAGCGTTGTTTAAAAATTTTTAAAGCTATTTTAACCAACATAAAAACTAAACTAAACGAGACCAGTAAAATCTATAATAGTATTATTTTTTCTGAAACCCTTTTGGAAGCATGAGTATTTTAAAACTTTAGTTCACTTTAAATCATTTAATAAAAATAGCACGTTTTCTGCAAAACATGAAAATAAAGAAAATTTATTTTGTAAAATTTCTATTTGCTTTAAATAGCTAGATTTAAAAGTATGGTGAATCGCTTCTAAAATATTTTGACTGAGGAAAATTATTTTAAATTAAACTGGACATTTCAATTTTGCAGAAACTGTAATAATATTATGCTTCTCAAAAGCTTTTAAAGAATAAGTATTTTGAAAGCTAAAGTTAAAAAAGAACACCCTTAAATCATTTAGCAATGACAATATATTTCCTTTTTTCTGCAAAGCATTAGAATAAATAAAATTTGTTTTGTTAAAATTCTATTCATTTGGCTTAAATAACTAAGATTTAAAATTATAATGGAGAATCTAAAAAAATTTTTTTAACTAAACAAAAGAAATTTTTGATTTTCTTGAGAAAAAAAATTCAAAAAAATTAACTAAACAGAAAATTTTGATTTTTCAGAAACTTTAATAATAATATACTTTCTAAAAGCTTTTAAAGAATAAATATTTTATAGCTACATTTAAAAAATACAACTTTCAATCACTTAGTAAACACAAAACAATAGTTTAATCAAAACTTGGGAGCAGCAAAATTTTGTTTTGGAATTCTAACAGTTTCTTTATCCCGAAACTCACTAAGCAATTTATCAAATTGAAGAAATTTATGAAATTGAAAAAAATTCTATTTATTTGGTTAAAATATCTGAGGTTTAAAATTATAATGAAGAACCTCAAAATTTTTGATTTTTCAAAAACTGCAAGCTTTTAATTCTAAGAATTTAACTGTAAGCTTTCTGAGAGCTTTTAAATAATAAATATTTTAAAGCTACATTTTAAAAGTACACTTTTCACTCATTTAGTAAGCACAAAATAGTTTTATCAAAACTTTGGAACAGCAAAAATTTGTTTTGTAATTCTAGCAGTTTCCTCTCATCGAAACTCGTAAGCAATTTATCATATTGAGGAAGAAATTTATGAAATTGAAGAAAATTCTATTTATTTGGTTTAAATAGCTAAGACTTTAAAATATAATGAAGAACTTCGTAAAAAAATTTAAGTAAAAATAAAATTTCAAATGAAATTAAAAATATTGATTTTTCAAAAACTGTAATAATATTATACTTTCTGAAGACTTTTAAAGAATAAATATTTTAAAGTTACATTTAAAAAGTACACTTTTCAATCATTTAGTGAGCACAAAATAATAGTTTTATCAAAACTTGGGAACAGCAAAAATTTGTTTTCTTATTCTAACAGTTTCTTTGCACCGAAACTGAGTAAGCAATTTATCAAATTGAAGAAGAAAAAGCCGCAATATCGTTTGTTGCTGGATGTTTCAGAGCAATATGTTACTCTCTATTTTATTCCACAAATTTTATTAGTAAATTAAATTTTGAATTCTATTTTTTTCCAATTGTTTATTTAGTTTGACGCACAAAAAAAAAGAACAATTTTAGACTTTCAATTCAATCTTCTCCTTGCTTTCTTAAAATTCCATTTGGTGGGAAAGATAGATAAGAGAATTGTTTAACTTAGACAAAATTTATTTTACTTTGAGTGTCGGAGTATAAAAGTTCCTAAAAGCCAGAAACTTTCAATTTATTTTTGGACCAAATACAATTCCATTGTACCATTTGTTTTTGTGCGTCGAGATAAAACAACAGAGATTTTTCCAGCTAAGCTTTCAAAGTTTCAATCTATTTATAAAAGAGTTTCTCTTTCGTACTAATGTGAGCGCCCATTTCCTTTCGTTTCGGTCTAAAGTGAATTAAATACTTTTAATTATTAATTACGGGAAAATTCTTCTAAAAGTAAATAAGTTTGGGCTGAGAGACAACTAATCTTCTTGTTTGGTATTTTGTCATTAAGACAGAAAAACTTGGCTTTCGTTTACCCCCAAAAAGTTTAGTGAGGCAAGACTTTAATGTAAATAAAAGAGTTAGCTAAGTGATTTAGTGGTAAATATATATTAGGATGTGCCGCATGAGTAAAATAGGCAACCTCTTTTTTAGGCGCCAATTGTGTTTCCGTATATCGCCCTACTAAATAATATGGCTCTGAAATTAAATTAATTTCATAATTAAAACATAAAAAAATTATAATCCAAATAAAAGGCATTTTACTTCAAAATAAGGCAAATAATGTGAAAATGGAGACGCATGTTATACAGCCTCTGGCCTTACTATTAGACGCCCTATAAGATTCTATGTAAAATTATAATTAGCAGGTGATATTCTACAGCTGTATTGTTTTTACTCGGATGAAACCGGTTTGCATTTGTTTACGCTCCTGTATCAATTGGTTAACATTATAATGCAATACGCTCAAAATAGATACAAATAAAAAGTATATAACTATATAAAAAATCTCCGGAATTAAAATACATTACATTTATGTTTAAATATAAAAGTATTGCTTATAAAATCGGCAAATCATGTAATTATTAAAACATTAAAGTGCGTCTAATAATTTCATCTAATTATTATAATATACTAATACATATAATGATTGATATAATAAATATTCTATATTTATGTAATGTACAGTTCAATTTATCCTGTCATCAAATTTATACTATGTATGGTCTAATTTAACCAATATGATACACGAACGTACACAAGTGCAAACCGGTTTCAATAGCGTAAAAACAATAAAGCTGTTATAGTATCAGCTGATAATTAAGATTTTACATAGAATCTTATAGTGCGTCTAATAGTTTGGCCAGGAACTGTACAAAATGTACGCTATAAACGAAATGTAGAGTGTTATCTATATATATATTTCTCTTACACGGCACCAAAAAAAAGCCTCATTACAACTCCCCGAATGGCAACATTAGAAAATCGACCAATGATTGCTGCTAAAAATGTCACATGGCAAATGTCACATGAGGTGGCTCAACATATAGCGCTTTTAAAAACGGAAACAATAACCAGAGTGAGCATTATCAGGTTGTTCAATTCAGATTCATGCCCTAAAA